AATTAACAGTATGTATTGCCTTTGTTCCTCAGTTTGTTCACCAGAGAGTTGGTTGATTCATAGTATAGATATGTTCTTAGAAGAGTACTCTACCTTGAAATTCAGAAGCATTTTTTCCTTAAGAAACAATGGTGGGGCTGGGGTTGTGGCTCAGTGGTAGAGTGCTTGCCTAGCATGTGTGAGGCACTGGGTTAGATTCTCAGCACTACATACAAACGAATGAATGAATAGGGATCCATTAATAACTAATAAAAATTTAAAAAGAAACAATGGTAAAGAGGAGGGAGGCCAGATAATCAGTATTTTAGACTTTGTCTCCGGTCTCAAGTCTACAAATATAGGAGAAGGCAGATAACCTAAAAGTATGGGTGTGGTCATGTTCCAGTAAAACTATGAAAGCATATGGAGGACTGGGTCTGGCCTTCAGGCCAGCAGCATGCCCACCTCTGGTAAAGAGGATTACTGAATGAATGTAGTCATAAATGGATATAATAATTGACCTTATTCCAAAATTATATCAATATAAAGCAATACTTTGTATTTTCCATTTTTTTTGTTCACAATAGTAAAATAGGCTTCTTGTAATGTAAAATTGAAGAGGCATTGTAACCTATCCTCTTGAGTTCAGTATTATCAACAAACTCTGGGTGAAGTATGAGCAGAAATACAAAAATGGGGGAAAGTGTGTAAATTTAGAGATAGTGCTATACTTTGATGAGTAGGGGAGAAATAGTTCTTGGAGTACACCCCCATCACCACCCAAAATAGCCACTACAGCAGAGCGGTAGATCTGAGGACAGATCTTTATGTATAGTGAAGCTATAATATAACTAAAACCAGAATCATGAAAGAAGCAAACAACACAAACACATTGCAGGAGATAGTGTCAACCTTTTGGAAGTAGAAAAATATAGTCAGTCAGTCATTACTGACTACACTTTTTCTACCTCATCCACATTTAATGGTAATTTTTGGAACTTGTATCATTGCTTGTTTTGATATTATTAGACAATGTTAAATCTAAGTAGTGTATGTTGCAACTCACTTTTATACCTAGCTGTTATCCCCCTACCATGGCATCAGATACCCTGTGGTCTACTCAGTAATCCAGCCACCTAAGTGTTGTGGCTAGAAGTATGCTGTCTAATACAAAAGCTATTACATGTTCATGTGKGTTATTAAACACTTGAAATGAAACCAATCCAAGCAGTAAATATAGAATGTATGCTGGATTTTGAAGATTTACTACAAAAAAAAATTTTAAATTTTTTTGATTACRTATTGAGATGAAATTATCATAATTTAGTGGGTTAAAATATATGCAAATTTAATTAGTATTTCCTTTATTTTTTCAATGTGACCATTAAAAAATTTCAAATTATATTTGTGGCAAGAACTCTATTTATATTAGCAYTTTTTTTACAGATTAATGTGTAAGATACGTAGATTTGAAGTTAGTTTTTTAAAATGGCACTAGGTATAGTTTAAATTGTCAGACATATGCCTCATGCTATTTATGTATTGTCTTAGAAAGTGGAAATTTACAGATATATTTGTTCATATAGAAAAAAGTTTGGGACTTTTCAAGATTTCTAGGTGGGACTGCAGTTTCAGACTGTAGGAAGATTAAATAAGGCCTTTTTCAAAATTCATTCATTTTATTCTGCACCATTGAAAACTACCTATTGAGTATGTTTGTTGTTTTACCTCTTAGTAATAAGTTATTTATTCTGGACTGTATTGCTTATAAGAACCAKATTATGTCCATCTCTTCTCTTTGACTGCTTCTTCTTTTTTTAAGACCTAGGTCTTGACATCACTTCATCAAAAAATGTTCCTATTCTTTTTTGCCTTTCTCTCCACCATTTTTTATTTCCTTCCGAATTCTGTTCAAAGTTAGCCACTTTTTACTTTGTAATCTTAATGACATACAGTACATCCATTATTTTTTGTACTAAAATATACTTAAAATATACTTGTTCACCAGAGAGTTGATTGATTCATAGTATAGATGTGTTCTTAGAAAAGTACTCTATCTTGAAATTCAGAAGCATTTTTTAAATACTTAAAATATACTTTAAAAGAATCTTTTTCATACTGGATTAGAGCATGCATCTTTGGCATTTATATGTTATTTCTTTAGATCTCATTTATATTTAAGGTATGATTAGTTTCCCTTACTTTATTTCCCTAGGTTTTATTGTTTTTCTTGTTGGTTTCATTTTTTTGGGGGGTGGGGGTGGGTATCAGGAGCCCTTAACCTCTGAGCTACATCTCCAGCCCTTTTTGTATTTTATTTTGAGACAGGGTCTCACTGTGTTGCYTAGGGCCTCAGTAAGTTGCTGAAGCTGGCTTTGAACTCGTGATCCTCCTGCCTCAGTCTCCCAGCCTCTGGGATTAAAGGCATGTGCCACCTTGCCTGGCTATAAAACCATTTTAATATTTTGGGTTTTTTTAGTTATCAGCAGACACAACATCTTTGTTTGTATGTGGTGCTGAGGATCGAACCTGGGCCGCACGCATGCCAGGCAAGCGCTACCGCTTGAGCCACATCCCCAGCCTATAAAAACCATTTTAATGGACTTTCCCTACATCTTATTTGGAGATCAAGAGTACTATATGGATAACTTAAACAGATAAATATTCTAGCCAGGAAATAAACTTATAGCAATTAAAATACTTTTAGAATGATGAGAGAAGGAAAGAAGGGGATTTCAGGAAGGAAAAAAAGTTTAAAAATAATGACTTAGGGCTGGGTTGTGGCTCAGTGGTGGAGTGCTTACCTAGCATGTGTGAGGCACTGGGTTCAATTCTTAGCACCACATATAGATAAATAAAATAAAGTTCCATTGAAAACTAAAAAATATTTTTTAAAAATGACTTAATTATATTGGATACATATAATTATTGAAAAGTAGACCAATACTCTATAGAGAAGGAAAAAAATTTACCCATGACTTAACACTTGATGGCAGCCATTATTAACCTTTTTACATATATCTTAACTTTTTATACTTTTTAAAAATATTTATTTGTAGATGTGCCTTTAATTGTAGAAATAAATATTTAATATTTAAATAAATATTTAAAATATTTATTTATTTGTAGATGAACACACAGTATCTTTATTTTTATGTGATACTGAGAATAAAACCCAGTGCCTCACACATGTGAGGCTAGCACTTTGTCACTGAGCTACAGTCCCAGCCCCTAACTTTTTATACTTTAAAAATATTTTATTGTAAAATGATACATTATAAAAACTTACACAACTTAGAAATAACTTAGAATCATAAAAAATGTTTCCTTTCTTCAAAGGGAACATCAGCTTATAGTACATATACAAGCAAACACATTTTTTTGTGGCTAAAATTAAGCAGGTAAGGTTGTGTATTCACTATAGCTATGGAACCAACCTAGGTGCCCTTCAGTAGATGAATGGATAAAGAAAATGTGATACATATACACAATGGAATATTACTCAGCCTTAAAGAAGAATGAAATGATGCCATTTGCCAGTAAATGGATGGAACTGCTGGAGGCTATCACGCTAAATGAAATAAACCAAACCCTAAAAAACAAAGGCCAATGTTTTYGGATATGTGGATGCTGACTCAGAATAGGTGGAGTGGTGGTAGGGGAAGTAGAGTTTCACCAGATTGGGACAAGGGGAAATGGGATAAGGAAGTGGGGGGATGGGAATGGGAAGGACAGTAGAATGAATCAGACATAATTTTCCCATGTTCATATATGAATACATGACCAGTATAACTCCATATCATATGTAACGCCAAGAAAAGGAACTTACTCTCTCTGTATGTGSGACATGTCAAAATACATTCTATGGTGGGGCACCATGGCGAACTCCTGTAATCCCAGTGGCTCTGGAGACTGAGACAGAGGAGAATCACAAGTTCAAAGCCAGCCTCAGCAACTTAGTGAGATCCTGTCTCTAAATAAAAAATTAAAAAGACGGGCTGGGGTTGTGGCTCAGCGGTAGAGCACTCGCCTAGCTCTTGCRAGGCACTGGGTTCGATCCTCAGCACCACATATAAGTAAATAAATAAAGGTCAATCAACAACTTAAAAATAATTAAAAAAATTAAAAAGAGCTGGGGGTGCTGGGGTTGTGGCTCCAAGATAGAGCACTTGCCTGGAATATGTGAGGCACTGGGTTTGATCCTCAGCATCACATAAAAATAAATAAATAAAAATAAAGGTATTGTGTGCATTTACAGCTTAAAAAAAAAAAGCTGGGATGTGGCTTAGTGGCTAGTGCCCCTGGGTTCAATCCCTGGTACCCCCCCCCCAAAAAAAAATACATGGATGGACAGAAAGACAGGAGGGTTCAAACTGGAAATAGAATTGTTTTTATTTATTTTTTTCTTATTAGCAATGTTAACAACTCTTATTCTTTTTAGTGACTGCTTTTTCATTATGTGAAGTACCATTATTTATTTCACTTTCCTCTATTGTTAGATGCTTATACTTCTCAGTTTTTCACTATTATGTTAAAGAAAAAAATTATGGCTGAGTACTTTTGCATTGACTAGTGTTTTGGCTGCTTTTCAAGAAACTTTAAAAGGAAAAAGAAAGGTTGAGTTTATTTTCAGTTTGACTCTAGATTTCCAAACTGCTAGAATTTGAAGTCCAATTTTTGCTGATGTGCCTTTAATTGTAGAATATAAATGTCTATTTTAAATATATTTTGTCTTGGGCTTGTCTTAATGTATAAGTTGATCAGCTACTAAACTCTTGTTTGAGTTCTGTGACTCCATGAAAAACTTTGCTCCAAAGGCATGGAAAAAACCTAATAAAAGGGGCTGGGGATATAGCTCAGTTGGTAGAGTGCTTGCCTCACATGCACAAGGCGCCCTGGGTTCAATCCCCAGCATCACCAAAAAAAACAAACAAACAAACAAAACTAATAAAGGTATCAGTTTTTAATGTAAAATTTGTAAAATGATAGGTAATGGGTTTTTGTTTTTGTTTTTTAATCAGTGACTTTTTTGAACGAACCATTCTGTGCAACAGCCTTGTGTGGAGTTGTGCTGTGACGGGTAGACCTGGACTGACATATCAGGAAGCACTTGAGTCAGAAAAAAAAGCAAGACAGAATCTTCAGAGTTTTCCAGAACCACTAATTATTCCAGTTTTATACTTGACCAACCTTACCCATCGTTCACGCTTACATGAAATTTGTGATGATATCTTTGCATATATCAAGGATCGATATTTTGTTGAAGAAACTGTGGAAGTCATTAGGAACAATGGTGCAAGGTAAAGTACTTTTAATTTTTCCTCTTGATAAGTATATAATCACATTGCTCAAAGGTAAAAAAACAAAAGGGTAACCTGAGGAAATCTTCCTTTTTACTGTCCTCTAGCTACTTTGTTAGCCACAGATAGCTTTGTTGTTACAAAGCTATACATAAGCCACTAAAAACATGTACATGCATGTGTCTGTGTATCTAAAACATACAGGTATAYATTCTTTCCCCATTTTATAAAATAGGTAACATGATTCTCTATAAACTTTTTCACTAAAATATCTCAGGGATCAACCCATTGCTATATAAACCACCTTTCTTAATAATTTACTGTATAATAAGTCCCATTTGTGGAAATTTGATTTTTTAAGAGTAAAAAACTTTTGATAACCATATCTACCTAGTCCTCATTATGTTACCTAGTACTTTAAACACAATTGTATTCTTGATGGGTTTTAGTATTTCATTTAACAAAACTAGACCTGGGTTTATATATTCCTTTTAAGTTTCTCTTCTTTAAAAAAAATTTTTTTTTCATGTAGCTTTGTTGAGAGACAGTTCACATATAGCTCCCCCATATAAAGTATACAATTTAGTGTTAGATCTTTTCTCTTTTACCCATGTCTTCCAGAATAAAGTTTATTTTTCATATAAGAAAATTGAAAATGATATAATCTATGGCTCTAAGTTGAAAATTGTCATTATTGAGCTGGGAGTATAGTTGGGTGGTAGAGTGCATGTATGAGGCCCTGGATTCAATTCCCAACATCAAAAAAAAAAAAAAAAGAAAAGAAAAGGAAGGCTGTAATGTTAAACTTTAGCAGTTTTTGTTTTGTTTCTGTTGGTTTTTTTGTTTGTTTTTTGTGGTGCTGGGCATTGAATTCAGAGCATCACACCTGCTAGGTAAGTGCTGTAATTCTGAGTGATATCCAGCCCAATTATATTCTTTATTGTTTTATTTGGAAAAATTATTGTGAGTTTATACATAACTTTAATAATGTCTTAACTAATATAACATTTAGTTGTTAAATGCTACTCTACATTAACCTTTAAAAAGCTAAGCAGTGTTTATATTAAGATCTAAAATTATTTTGGCAAATAATCCAGAAAGGTCTTTAAAATTATAGAAGCAACATGTAGTCCTCCTGCCACGGCCTCATGAGTAGCTGGAATTRTAGGTGTAAGTCACTGTACCCAGCCCACATGGTTTTAATAAAGTACATTTATCTTTGCCTTTTGTTATAGTTTGAAAAGTTATAAATTTTTAGTTTTATGAGAGACAGATAAAGATAGTAAAATGTCTAGACTTTAGACTTAATACTGATCTTGTTGGACAATGACATCCTTTTAGGTTATTTTGAGATTAAAATGACTGCGCATATATATGTGTATGTGAGGCACACATTTTATTTATTTATTTAATTTTATTTTTTTCCTTTTTTTATTAGCTATTCATGATATTACAATGATCTTGGCAATTCATACATTTGAATCATTGAAGTACAACTTCTCATTTTTCTAATTGTACAGATTGCAGAATCACACTGGTCATAGAGTCACCTATATACATACAGCAATCATAATGTCTATTCTATTCTGCTGCCCTTCCTATCCCTCCTGGGGCATACATTTTAAATCTCTATATAAATAGAACGTAGTGGCATTTTACTGGGATTAGTGTTGTTATTGACTTGAGGCTTATATGGTTCTTAATATTTTTCTCTATTATTGACTAATTTGTCTACTGGAAATTATATTTTCTTTTATAACTAAACTTTAAAGATGACTTATAAGTTCTTTACCTTATCCTAAGTTGTTGTATATATATAGTCTTGTCCCTTTACCATACTCTTTTTATTTAAATTTTGGTTAAAATAAATTTTAAGATGTTAATTGGCCTAAGCTGACTATATTGGAATTGTGCCTTCCACCTATGTAACTACCTATATAACTTTTTGGCAAGTTATAAAACACCAGTTTTTCTCTCCTTGATTTCTTGTAAAGATTTTATAAAGTAATAGAGAAATGGATAAGGATCATTTTTATGTTGGATTAGTTGGCATAGGTACTTTGTATCTACTCACCACAATATTTTGTTTTCTCTCTTTTTTTAAAATTTTTATTTTTTAAATTTTTTAGGTATAGATGGACACAACACAATGCCTTTATTTTTATGTGGTGCTGAGGATTGAACTTGGGTCCCGCCCGTGCTAGGCRAGGTGCTCTACCGCTGAGCCACAATCCCAGCCCTCTGTTTCTCTTTTTTAAAGATACTTTTAGTTGTAGATGGACACAATACTTTTATTTTATTTATTTATTTTTATGTGGTGCTGAGAATCAAACCGAGTGCCTCCTACATGCTAGGCAAGCACTGTCCACTAAGCTGTAACTCCAGCCCCTATTTTTTTTTTTTTTTAGCAAATTATTTTTTTAATATTTTTTGGTGGTTTTTATAATTTTTTATTGGTACATTATAATTATACATAATGGTGGGATTCATTGTTATACATTCCTACTTGCACACACATTAATATTCTTATTTTTAAATTTACTTTTAAGTATCCCCCCCTGCCTTTTTTTTTTTTTTTTTTTTTTTGCTTTCACAGTTATAGATTTGGTGCTTCTTCCCCTACCCTCAAGACTTTCTACTTTGAAATAAACAATCAGCTAACATTGCTAACATTTTTCTAAAAAGTCCTTTGTCAGTGCTATAGCAGAGTAGTAAAGAAAAACCATTGATTTTTTTGGCTAAGGTAGGTGAAAGGAAGAATAATTTGATTCATTACTCTCTCCATCCTAATAGCTACCTGCTTTGTCTCCCAGATGTGTTCACATTGGTTTTATACTTCATCAGAGCCAATGGAAGAAGTGAGAGGACTGGGGGGTCTTGTGAAACAAATATCAAACTGAAAATCATGTTTATCAATTTTTTTTTGGAGTGAGGGGCGTTACCAGGGGTTGAACTCAGGGGTACTTGGCCAATGAGCCACATCCCCTGCCCTATTTTCTGTTTTAGTTAGACTGGGTCTCACTGAGTTGCTTAGTTCCTTGCTGTTGATGAGGCTGGCTTTGAACTCTTGCTCCTCCTGTCTCAGCCTCCCAAGCCACCAYGCCTGGCAGGTCTATTAATTTTTTTTTAAGACAGATACGTTACATAGGCGTTTTTTAATTTTTATTTTTCGTAGTTGTAAATGGACAGAATTATTTTATTTATTTTATGTGGTGCTGAGGGTCAAACCTAGTACTTCACATGTGCAAGGCAAGCACTTTGCCACTGAGCTACAGCCCCAGCCCCAGGTCTATTAATTCTTAAATACTTACAGATGCTTTATGTATACATTATATCAGTATGTATGAAGCAAGAATTCACTGTCTCCATTTACAGATGAGGAAACAGGAATTCAAAGAAGTTAAAGATTTTTTAAAAAATTATTCAACATATATTTATCTCCAGTCATTTGCTTGCACTGTTCTTAACGCTAGAGCTACAGCCGGAACAAAACAAAARCATGTAGCTTCCATTCCAGTCTTAAAAGTCGTAAATGATAGATTTAAATTCAATTAGGACTGACAGAATTCTAATTTCTTTCACTGTATGCTTAGTTTGGGGTTCTAATATTTATTTTTTATTGGTACTGGGGGGTTGAACCCCGGTGTGCTTTACCACTGAGTCACATCTCCAGGCTTTTTAATTTTTTATTTTATCACTGAACCACAACCCCATTTCCAATGATTTTAAGGATACATACTGAGGAGTGGTATACTTGGATCATCCATACATTTATATGGTGGTTCCATACTGAGTCTTTTGAGGAACTTCCCTACTGATTTTCGTAGTGGTTGTACTAATTTGTACTAATTYACAATCCTACCAACAGTATAAAAGTGTTCTTTTTACCTACATCCTCTCTAGCATCTATTATTATTTTTACTCTTGAAGACGGCCTTTTCTTCTATATTTATTGACCGTTTATATTTCTTCTTGTGAGCAAGTGTCTTTATAATTCATTTGCCTATTTATTAATTGGGTTTTTKGGGGGAGTGTTAGGTTTTTTTTTAGTTCTTTATACATTCTAGACATTAATGCTCTGTCAGAAGTGTAGCCAGCGAAGATTTTCTTTCATTCTGTAGGTTCCCTCTTCAAGTTCCTAATTGTTTCCTTTGCTGTGTAGAAGCTTTTTATTTATTAACTCTTGGCATTATTTCCAGATCTTTAGGGATTCTATTGAGAAAGTTGTTTGCCTATGCCTATATGCTGGAGTGTTGACCCTACATTTTCTTCTAGGAGTTACATAGTTTTTGGTCTAAGGTTCTACATCTCTATGGCTAAGGTAGCAGGTAATTTAAACTCTGAGCTTTAGTCTTTTTTCATCTATCAAGTGAACCCTTTCCTTACAGGGTTGCCTCACAGGATAAAGTGACASGATGAAGGTGAATATTTTTAAGTTGTATTGTATAATATTGCTATTTCGTATCAGTATCTTGTTAATATTTGAATTTCTTGATTAGAGGCCATAGAGTTAGTTTCTTTCCTTTCTCTCTCCCTGTTTCCCTTCCTGATGTCCTCTCCTTCCATCTTTTCTTCCTTGAGATATGAGGATTTAAGAATAAATTAATAATTTCAGTATTTTGGAAAGATGTTTATTTATTTATTTAAGGCAGTCATTGTAAGATTTGTATGTGGTCTAGAAAATGACACATAAGGAGATTTTAAGGCATCTGGGTTTCAGTTAACTTTATAATTTTCTTTTTAACAAGGCTGATAATCATTGTTTAATAATGGGTTGGAAGGATGATGAGGTAGAACACAAAAGCATGCATGATTCACCCATGTTCTCTTTAATACSAAAGTATTAAATCCAGAAAAGGAGGTAGAAATCATACAATAAATAAACATTTTATACTCATTATATTGAATCATCATTTGAGAGAATTAGAGTTTGAGAGAATCTGAAAAATTACTCAAAATATAATTATGCATTTGGTGATTATTTATATTAAAGTGGGCTT